AAGCACGAAGCTGCAGAAGCATTTAATCAAGAACTTACCTATATGTGTGTTGTTTTTTTAAATTAAAATCTTAGATATGATCAAGTGATGTTATTTTCTTATTATAGTACAAATTGGGTGCTGTAATTTACTCTTTTTTATCAGAACCAATTCTCCTATAAATTACAATTTTTTCTTTTTAATTCTTTAAGAAATTTTAACAGTTTGGTTATCTTATTAGTTATATTTTGGTATTCACTATGAATTAATAAACTGGTTTCAATGAAAATATTTAGGCGTTCCCTCAATTTTTCATTTTTCTCGACAATAATTGCATAAAATGTTGTAATCAATTATCAAAATTATTATTTCTAAAATTAATTTTAAAGATAAAATCATTTTAGAAAATTTAATTTCGTTTTTATAAATATTTAAATTTAAATTTTTGTAAGAAATTATTTCAATAAAGTTGGAGTTCTAGTTTTATATGAATTAATTTAAAGAGCCCGCAAGTATTCTTTTAGAAATAGCTCCTTCTAATTTTATAAAAAGAGCTAAAAGTTGTGCTTAGATTTTTTTATTTTGTGAATTGCGATAACTCAACTGCAAAAAAAGATGATTTATTTAGATTTTACAAAAAACAATGTGTTCAAGAGAAATTTGAGCTTGAGCTTTGCTAAGTGACCCAATTAGGTTTGTGGAGTACATATATTTTAATTCAGCCTTACTCAAAGTAATTCTTTTGAATATACGAGACTTGTAAGCAACTAATTTCAATTTAAGATATTTTTTTAAAAACTCGGACGCATTGCAATCAATATTACTTGAATAATAACGTTTAATTGTCAAATTAATGCTTTATTATATTGGTCTTATTTCCGATTTTTAAAAATTTTTAACTAACTTTATATTCAGTTTGTGTATTGATTTGTACAAAAGCATTTTCGCTTAGTGAATATTGTCCATTTAACAAGTTGCGAATAAAACTAAAAAATTTTTTCATTCTTCTCTCACTCGCAGCGATTACAATAAAATTTTATAATGTTTTTTTGCTACGCTAACGATTCAGCATTTTTCTTTGCCAGCCCCGGATTTATCATACATGCAAAGTATGCATTTGCAATGGGCGATAAAAAATAGGGGCGCCATTGAAAACTTAAAAAACCCCTAAATTTAAAAAAAAAAAATTTTCACCCAAAAAAAAGGATTGCAAGTTTTTTTTTATACATCAATTTATAGCGAAATTAACTTAATAAAATCTACCTACATGCAAACATAATATTTTGTTCCTACACATATTTTCTATTTGCACCATATAACAAAAAATGTTCATAGAATTAAAATTACTCATACATTTCTTTACTCTACACTACTCTTTCATTCTTATTTTTTATGTACTGTATATGCCTATAAACACAGAATATTATTTCACACAGCTGTATACATTCAATCGTTCATATATATAAGTGAAATCGTCTCATATAATATACATACATATATAGAAGCAATGTACACAACAAATAAAAATATTCAAAAATACACATGTACACATAATTTATATTGTCTAATATGAATAAGATCAACACTCATGCGTACACATATAATTATCTCATAAAGCAAAATTTTTATTTTGCTGAGATTGCTCCCTATCAACACTCGCTCGTACACATATAATTATATAACAAAGCAATGTTTTTATTATGCTTAGTGGCTACACTCGTTCGTACACATTATATTTAAATTGTTTCATACATGCAAAATTTTATTTCTGCTTAGTTGTCGCCCACTCACCAAACAAACAAACACATTATTATAATGTATTAATTTTCTGTATACTATTGCATTAGTAAACAACAAGAACAAAACAAAAAAAACACAAATTAAGAATGAGAATAGAAAGAAATTAGAAAAAGAGAATGAGAGCAATATTCTTAAATGATGGAAAGCATAGCTTGATATTGAGATTGTGTATACCAATATTTTGTTTTTGTTTAACAACAAAAAATTTTGAATGAATTTTAAAATTACATGATCGTTATGAATTTCTACTACTATGTTCTGCTTTCGTTTTTGAAAAAACTGTTATCAATCACAGAATTAAATTTTAATTGATAAAATCTACTACATACTTATATTGAATTGAAAAAATGTTGTTTAATAATCAAGTGAATGTTAAGAATTTTTATGCTGAATTGATGTAGTGTAAGTCATCCAAAAAATAAGAGTAAAATGAAATGGCGCATAATTTGCTTCACACATTTATCTCCAAAATTAAAACAGTTAAGCAAAACGACATTCTGAAATTTCAAAAAAACAAGCCTATAAATACAAGTAAATGCATTTATTTTAATAAAATCTAAAAAATATAATGAACAGTATAAAAGCTTATAGCTATGTACATGAAAAGCTTAGTTTTTAAGTCACAAATTTTAGAACGAAACTTTGATTTTCCTTAAATTTTTGAATGCAAGTCGAAACTTTTTTTATACGCTGCTTCATTTCTCAGGCGATTTGTGAAATAAAAAGCCAAATTTTACGAATAAAAATAAAAATAATTATAAAAATAAAAATAAAATTACGAATAAAAATAAAAATAATTATACCCGTACGAACGTATGTTCGAAGGGTATACTAAATTTGCCTTACCGTTTGTAACGCTAAGAAATAACGGTGTTAGATATAGACTCAAGTGTATGCTTTTGATCAGCGTCAAATTCTGAGTTGATTTAGCTTTGTCTGTCCGTCCGTCCGTCCGTCCGTCCGTCCGTCCGTCCGTCCGTCCGTCCGAACGATAACTCAAAAACTAATTGAGCTAAGTTCACCAAAATTTCACAAATGATTTATTGTAGTAAGTGCCGGAACCCTATTTAAATTGGACATGATCGGGGTACCGGTTCGGGTAGCTGCCATACAACTTCAAAATTTATTCGGCTATATCTCAGAAACTATAAAAGTTATGGTATTGAAATTTCACACAAACGAATATATTAGTAGGGCCAATATGCCATATAAAAGTCGTTGAAATTACTTGGCTCCTTCTGGTACCTGCCATACAACTTCAAAAATTATTTGGCTATATTTCAGAAACTATTAAAGCTATGGTATTGAAATTTCATACAAACGAATATATTAATAGGGCCAATGTGTCACATAAAAGTAGTTGAAATTACTTGGCTCCTTCTGGTACCTGCCATACAACTTCAAAAGTTATTTGACTATATTTCAGAAACTATTAAAGCTATGGTATTGAAATTTCACACAAACGAATATATTAGTAGGGCCAATGTGTCTCATAAAAGTTGTTGAAATTACTTGGCTCCTTCTGGTACCTGCCATACAACTTCAAAAGTTATTTGACTATATCTCAAAAACTATAAAAGCTGTGATATTGAGATTTCACACAAGTGAATATATTAGTAGGGCCGATGTGCTTGATAAAATTCGCTAAAATTTCTTGGCTCTTTCTGGTAGCTGCCATACAACATCAATAGTAGTTTGGCACAACCAGTATTTTGAATAACACATAGTACTGAAATTTTGCATAAATTAATATGGTAATACGGCAACTTAAAGTCATAGTCTGCCCCATAGTTAGTTATGGCACATTAGTTATTCGCACATAGGATAACAAATTCGTACGGGTATCACAGAGTTGACAAGGTCAACTCTATTTTTTTTCTCGTTTTTTACTTTTTTTCATATTCAAATAAGCTTTGAAAAAGTTCATTTGATATAATTTTCATAGAACCTTTTACAAAAAGTTTCACTTACGTCAAAAAGTAAATTTTTTGGTTGTTAAAATCAAAAAATCAAGTTTAAGTGATTGATATAAATCTGATCATAGCTTCATAAAAAAACGTTAAATAAATTACCTTGTTTTTGAATTTATAAAACAAAAAATTGAAAGTTTAGTTCCAGACTATAATTCAGCACAATTTAATTCTATAATTCAGCACAATAAGGTTACAGGAAACTGCTTTAAATTTTGTTCACAGTAATAAAATAGGTGAAAAGGGGGGGGGGGCGCACTTTTTAGGAACCGCTTAGGGCGACGAATACATCAGAACCGCGCCTGTTCTTTGCTACGCTAACAATAAACTTGGATTTTTTTTTCGTTTTTATTAAATAACAAACCAATAAATTGACCTGAAACAAAATAGATTACTACTGATTTTAAAGCTTACCATTGACTTTGACAACAATTCATGATTATTATTTTTTTTGTTGGAAATGCTCATTTTCCTGACGACTTATTTTTATTTGAATGAATTTTATTTTTAAAACTATATAGAAAATCTATTGATATAACTAGAGCATTTAATGGTTAAATGTAATAAATTAAATTACGAGTACATAATATAATAATAATGTAATAGAAATTCAATAAAAATTTGTAACAATGCGTAATTTATTTAAAATTAAAAAAATTTACAAAAATTACAATTTAATTATATATTGTGAGCTCTGCGGTAAAATATGGTTGTATTTGGTTACAAGGTCATTATAAAAGATTGTAAGAATTTAATTAGAAATTTAAGATTTAAAAAGTAGTTAAATGGAATTTGAATTGAATATAAGGCAATAATACGCATGCATAATTAAAACATGAGGATAATTAATCAGGAGAGTGGGTCTCGAGCGTGTGTTGTTGGGCATGCCCCGCACTCGGATAGGGGCGCACAATAGATCCTTATACGTGGTCGCGGTGCACTGTTGGCCCCGTTGTACAAATCTACAAATCTACGCATGCATAATTCGATATTAAATGCTATGAATTAAGCAAAATTTCAATATGAACATTAATGATCAATATAATGATTGAAACGGTGAAAATTCATGAAATTTTGCTAAGTGAATTACCATCATATTTTAAATAGAATATTCTACGAACTGTTCTAAAAAATTCAAGTAAAAATTCTTAGTACAATTTATAGATTGATAACAAATTGTTCCAAATGATGTTCAACGCATCTTTGATTTCAAATTAAAATAAAATACATATTTTTGTTTTTTCGTTTCAGATCATGCACCGTATTATAATTCTACTTTATATCTTATATTATTTGGAATTTATATGTGCCATATTGATTCAAGATCAAAAAGTTCCTAATACACCATTTGGTTATATTTATAATAAACCAACACCATCACAACCAGTAACAATATTTCCATCTTATCAGACACCATTACAATCACATCCATTATCATTTTTCCCAACATCATCGACTACATCACAAATTCAATCATCAAATCAATTTCATATTGGTCATATACCGCAATCAATTCATTTAGATATACCACCAGCTGTATTAAGTAATTTCTTTTCAAATTCTGATCAACTTATTGTAACCGAAAATGGACGATTAATAAGACCATATGAAGTAATGGAAAGAATAATTGGAGATCTTGAACATCCACATCAATTATTAGGACCATCACCATTACTTGTTGATAGTTTTGTATCAAAATTTATTGCACAAAATCCAAATTTATCAAGACAAATATTGCATCCGATAACAACAGGACATGGTCCAATTGCATTAGGTTCCGGATCATTAGGTTATATACAATTGAGAAATGGTGAAGCACAATTAGGTTCCGGTTCTTTAGGATATATAAGTGGTCAACAAGCTAGTAGAGCTTTACTTGATGCTAGAACAAGAAAAGCTTTACAACCACCGGGACCATTACAATTTGGTCATTCATTTCGAAATTAATTTGAATTTCAATTGATTTTTAATTGATATTTTTAAAATTAACAAAATTATTTTCTTTTGTTTTTGTTTGAAAAAAAAAATGGCAGAGTTTTAATTAAAGCTATAATTAAGAATAAAGCTAAAAAGATGAAGAATGCAAACGAACTAGGTGTAAAAACAAGAAGGAGAGGAATGAACATTGTGTAGTAACATATATGAGTGCCATTATTTAGCAGAGTTAGCAAATTCTATAGTTCTCTATTTATTTTCATAAATCTATTTCATCTATACCTTAAAGTGATGCAGTGTAATTATTCAAATTTTATTTGGTCACCATGCATTTTAATTCTACTACAAAAATGTTTTAAATTTATAAGTAGAAAAAAAAAATAAAAAATAAATTTTTGTAAATATGAAAGTAAAAGCAATGCTTCTTATTATTTTTTATTTCTTCGGAGTTGCAAGAAATTGATCAACATTTAAAGTACCGGTTAAATTATAATAGAATTGCCGTTTATAATTATTATAGAAAATACAAGTTGAGTACAAGCATTAAGTTATTCATGTTAAAATTACTGTTGTATCGTCATCATTTATAAGAGGAAGAGCAAACAGGAACAGAAGAGGAAAGATGTTTCATGTTGTTAGGAAAATTAATTTTACCAATACAGGCGCTATGACTATGGCCTAAACTAGTGAGTTTGTTAGCAAAAAAATTTTATATAAAACTAAAATTTTTATATTGGCTTCCATAAGCCTTGAGCATACTTGTAGTAATACTAATGTATTTTAATTTCATATAACATGCGCATTACCACAAAATACATCCAATGGTTCGTACTATAAAATGGAAGTTTCTGAAGTTTTCGCTTCAGAATATTTTGCCAAGAAAGCCAGTGCAATCACGTCAATAATCAACTTCCAAAAATACAGTGATTAGAAGTCCATTCACAAAAGCATATTTTCATATGAAATGTACCCATAAAGCGAAGGAAACGTTTATAATATTTAAATTTCTACAAAAAAACATTTTTCATTCGACTTGATTTGATTATAGTTTCTTTTGAATACCATAGATTTATGTTCTTCTCCTGCAATTATCTGTATCAATTACTCTGAGTTCCTGATTTCTGTGTTATAATTGAAAAGAACTAATTATCTATGACTTACGAATGATTTACTGTCCTTTATTTTTACATCATATGCTCCTAAATTATATCCAAATTGAGTGAAATTTATTGTGTCCACAATTTTCCGCACAATTTTCCGATTGCCATTCATAAACTAGTGTTTCTGAATTCAATTCAATTTTTTGTAAGCAAATGTGATTTGTTCACCAATTCACACGTGCATATAAAAAATATTTAATTATTTCAATTGAGACATTCCTGAATAATGTTGTGATATGTTTACACAGTTTATGATTAATTACTTCAGATAATTGCGGATTTTTACTTCAGATAATTGAATAAAATTAAAAATAAAAATATCAAAATTGTGTCAAAGTCAAAATAAAGCAGTGCGAAGTTTTCATTATAATGAAATTAAAAAAGATATAGGTACACCTTAATTCCTTTTCTTTCAACCTTAATTTCATGTTTTAATTCCTAAAAAGAGACGACATTTAAAAATATTTATGAGCATTATAAAGTCTTTACAGCAATTTTCAATGGTAATTTGTAATTTTTTTTTGGTTTTATAAAAAGTGAGTAATTTTAATTTATTGGATGTCATTTTATGTGATTGCATGAGACTTCACTTAAGTATTATAATAGTTATGTAATAAAATGTATATATATATATATATATGTATTTATATCAGTCCCACATTTATATTTGAATTGTACATAATATAAATAATAAGCAGTGCTATACAAGAGTAATCGTCTAAACTAAAAAAATGTCTATTAAACCTAGTAACGTCTAATCCAAAAACCATGGGAAAATCATATTGATTCAAGTCTGTGTAGGTATCATACGCAGAGACCGAAAAATTAAATTAAACTTATTACTAAAAACTTAACATATGCGATGTCTGATGGTTCGGTGTTGAATCAACATATTTTGAAATTGCCATTAGAACCGGTGACTAATGTTCGATATTTGGAGTTTCGGGCTTCACCAGATATATGATTTTGTTTGAACTGTGGGTTTCATTAAAGCAAAATTTAATAATCAGAAATATTTTTGATCTTTGAACAAATTGTCAGATATCAAAAGTTGAGAAATATTAATGTCTAATGATGAAATGCGGGAAAATTTCCGAAATTGATTATTGATTTAGATTTTTAATTAAAAGGTTAATTGCACTTAAGTCGCTTTATGCCGAAAGATGGATATATTTCCATCCATGCTTGCTCATCAGGATTTTAGATAATATTCGCGTTCGTCAAGAGATTAAGCTTTCTCATTTATTAATGTGAATATCCCCAAATAAGATATTAAACTCCAATCTACCACTTGTAATTTAATATCTTATAAATACAATCTTGAATTTGAAATTCTATATGTTTAAAGTGTAAATATGTAGTTGTTGTAAAATTTTCGAAAAATTGCTCTAATCCAAATAACTTATTTTTCTATATACTCGTAGGTTTCATGTATATGTACGGTTTACTGTTCTATTAATTTTTTTTGGTACTATATACCCTATATAATGTATTCTACTATTGTTACAATTTACAAATTGCAATACACTTTAAATTTATATTCGACCTTTTTACACAAAATACATGAATCGTAAAATTTTACAATAGTTACCATGGTGTAGTACATTTAACGCTTATAGGTTTTCGAAGTTCATTTATTAGCATAAATGTATAATAATCTATGTACGTATGTATATATAGATCACCATATTTTTTTCATTTGCATAATTTCAAAATTACATGCAAAAATCTGAACTATTGACCGTTTATTTTACTTAAAATTTATATAGACTTTTAAAATTTTCTTAAAACAATAAATAGAGAATTTTGTTTTTTTTTTTTGGTGCACGATTTTCATGTTGCAATATTTGCGCATATTTAAAATCAAAAATTATTATTATTATTGTAGACGACGATAACAACAAGAAATTTACATTTTCACTTATTTCTTTTTTTGCTATTTAGGTTTTCTCTATTGGTGTCTACATAAGTTTCATAATATTCATGAAGTCGTAGGATAATTATGTGCTGTTTGTTATGTTCTTCACCAGAAATTCTTTTTTAATAGTGTAATGAAAAAAATTTTACGAGTCTAATGCAAAACTTCTAATATTATGACAAAGGACCAAGAATTGAACCTTTACAAAAACAGAGAAGCCTTATAGTAAATGCCAATTAAAAAATTGCCTCTTGTGAAAAACTTGGCCTCTTGTGCATTGTCATTATTCTACATAATCATATAAGTAGACTTTATCGAGGATGATTTGTAATGATTTTTCTATGATGTGGAGAAACAATTGATCGAATAAAGTTTAATTGTGAGGTGTTTAATTGTGGCTGATTGGTGCAACTGCCAGATATGCTCTAGGACCATTTTGTACTCAAGTTTTTTTGTTGAATGTCGGAAGACATCCCATCTCTCTTAATTTTTCTATCTCTCCAAATGCTCATAAAAATTCATTTTGAAAAAAAAAAATATTACGAGTTCCTTGCATACGGTCTCGTTCTAAGTATTTAAGCTATAAAACAAAACTAGTATATAACAAAACGATATTATACTTTCAATATAATAAAATTCTTTAGCTCTTTGATAAATCTAATATCTTAAGTTATATATTCTCTTATTTGCTTGTTTTGTTCCCAATAAAATCATTTTTAAACAGTAGCACATTACAAGTAGCACAAATTAAAAATGTACAATTTTCATTAATAAAGTGTGTACATTTTTTTTTTATAGTTTTCTGTTTATTTTAAAAGACCAAATGTAAGTCATAAAACAACATGTAATTCTATGTTTTGTTTTTTTCCTTAGATATATTTACAACCTAAAATCTAATTGAATTATATTATATAGATGGTGTATGGTAAATATTATAATAAAACAATTATATTCGAAAAATACTGAAAGGCATAGTTGGTTATAAAATTATAAAACACAACAAAATAATTATTCTAAATCTGTAACGTACATGCTTCTTATATTGAATGTATCGCAGCATGTTCATTACCAAAAATTAATTTTTAAATGTAAATTTTGCTAAAATTTTGTACATATACAGTTAAATTGCGATCTTGTGCTGAAATACTAAACCAATAATTAGTAAACAGGTGTAAGAAATTTTTAAAATTAATTTTCATAAACAGGATTACAAAAAAATTGCTTGTAAATTAAATGGAGTAAGGTTTAATATAAATTTAATAAAGCCATACAAAATTCTTTAATTTCGTACACAATTTATTAAATGTTGTATGCTCTAGTTGATATTCAAGTAATAATTTAATTAAAATTAAGTTCAATAAACCTAGATATATTAAGAATTGCTGTTCTTACATTAGAATTCCATTGTCCACTAGTTTTTCCTATGCTCCAATTGATATTATTCTTACTGTGATCGATTGCATAATTGTTTGATTAAATTTGCATTGAAATTTACTATCTAAGAAAATGTGGAATCACTCTTAAACTTCACAAATTTTAAAATATACTTGTAACATAATTTTAAATATTTATACTGATTTTACTAAACAAAATTTACTTTTCTCATTAACCACTACGATCAGTCATTTGAACCGTAGAACGATTTCAGACTAAACAATACTGCCTAAATTTGAGATGTGAGTAAGATATCACAAAAATTAAAAACCAATAAAAACAACTGAGGCCTTTTATGACGTTGATGATTGATGCATATTTGCAGAAATTGTCCCGAATATTTTTTGGTGTGTAACCGATAGTCTTTGCTATGATACAAATTTCCTTTTTTCAATTTCATTAAATTTACTATATTAACTGCTTAAAATAATTACACCTTGAAATAATTTACATCACTATTGCTTCTGAATTTTACAACCAGTAGGCTTTCGCATGTTTCTTTTATTCTGTCTTTACAGTAGTAGTTGGAAATTGTTGAATTTTTACTTATGTTTTTAATATTCAAAATTGTATTCGAGCTTCTTAACTTTAAAATTTCCGAAAAATTCGGAAGAATTGCAATGGGAAATATCAATTAGTGTTAATGAACAACCCTGTAATATTTTTACCAAATACAAAAACTGCACCTTCGTATACTAAATAATTCAAGTTTACAATTTGATTTCATAAAAGACAATATGTTTTTTGACAGATTTATTATGTCATTTGAAATTTTGAAAAATATTAACAAGATTCCAATTTTTTTTTTTGTTCAAAATAAATTTCTATATTTTTAATCTTACAGTATTTCACACCCATTGATTGTA